ATGAAGTCTTAATAAAATGGCTTAAAATCATCTCTCTCTTGCTGCTGTTCAACCTTTCAATCCATTCTTATGTATAGAGGTATGTGGGTGGAGATTGTGTTTTTGCAAGGTTCATGTCTTTTCATTTGTGTGCGGATTAAGTTCCTAGCAATGTCCTATTTGTCCAGACCTTCAAAAGAGTTTTATATGTTCCATGAAGGCAGGCCAAGCTAAGCATTCTTCACTGCATTGTGTTATGTATGTGAAGATTTAGGTTTTATAGGATGTGCTGGAATTGAGTGCTTTGGTGTTTTTCTCCTATTTAGTATTTAAGTGAAATAGCTGTACATTTCAGACTAGTGACTTAGAAAATCAGTTATGCAAACCTATTTGTAGAGAATGTCACAGCAACTGTTTTTTTCAATCTGAACTTTATTCTTCAATTAGACAGTGCATGTAAAGTTTCACCAATAAAGGGGTGGCCTGTGATGTCGTTCCTTTATAAAAGAACAGTTTTAACCGCTTCTGAGTAGCAATATGCAGGAGAATGTCTAAAAAAATTGCCTTGAGCGACACTGAATCTTTTATAGATGTGCCCAGAACTCTTGCTCTTGTCCTGCTGTGCCAGCAGTTGCTTAAGGAACTCATTCATTTCTACTCGCCTTTACCTGCTACTTTCATCCTGCAGCTTTGGGAAGGTGGGCGAGTGTAAATACTAATCTCACGCACAATGGTCCTTTCATCACAGCATAAAAAGAGTAAAGTCTCCTCTTAGCATCAGAATGAAAAAGATAGTGTCATAGAAATTTGCTTGCTTTTGGTCATACAAGTTTCTTTAGATGTTTAATAGGTGTTGGCATTTAATAGGTGTGAGTTCAAACAGTTGTGAATCTATGTGGCCGAGTCTTGTTGGTGATCTTAATTTTTTTTTTTTGTGAGCTTGTAGTAAAGCCCCCTCCCCTGTGTGCTTTTTGAGACGGAATGAGAGAGTAGGAAAAATGACCTAATATTGACCCCTGTGGAACACCGTTTGCTTTATCACTTGGATGGTAATCTACTGACTGCAACTATTAAGGTGGCTGGTAGATAATGCTTTATAGTGCTTACATTATATAGCTTAGGATATTTCAGCCCTTAGGCAAATGGCAGTGTTTCAGGCTGCCCTGAAAGAGGCCACTGTTACACTCTGATGCATTCAGCTGTACTGCACCCACATCTGCCACTCATTATAGGTTCACAAGGGCACGTGCTAGAACATCATTACCTTCATGTCATGCTCATGTATGTGTATCAGCGTACAGTCATGTGAAGAAGTACGCCCCGTGAATTTTTTTTTTTCCATACATTTCCACACATCTTCATTTAAACAATGTTGTTAGATAAAGGTGATATAATTTAACAAGAGACACTTTATTTTAACACTTAACTTTTTTAGCTTTTATATTATTTACATAAACAGAAATGCAATTCACCTAAGTGGAAATAGTAAATACACCCCTATATATATATCACTTCTTCACTTGCGGCATATTGAAATCAGGTGCACCCAATCAGTTGCTGATGATTAGAACATAACATCCTAGGAGAGAATATCTTGGAGGAGCCTGTCTTATCTAAACCTCAGACATCTGGTCTGGTTTGCACTTTGTTATTGGAATTTGGGATATCATGCCTAAACCAAAAGAGCTGAGGCCTTTGAAAACAAGATGGCTGTGAGTCTGGGAAGGGGTTTGGGAAGCGTTTCCAAAGTATTAGAAAGCACCCCAAAATTTTACAACAGGATCTGCAAGTTGCTCTTGCCACTGTGGATGTCAAGTGCATGAATCTACCATTAGAAAAAGCAGAAAAAGTCTGCACAAATCTGACCTACATGGAGGGTGTACCAGCAGGACGCATTGGCTGTCTAAAAATAACATCAGGGCAAGACTAAAGTTTGCTATTCAATATATAGGCAAGGACCAGGACTTCTGGAACAATGTGCTATGGACAGGCGACTCAAAGTTACATGTTTTGCCACTGTACCAAAAGCCATGTTTGGGAAAACCAAAGACTGTGTTTGATCAGAAGAACCTTATACTAACTGTAAAGTATGGTAGTGGAAATGTTATGGTTTGGGGCTGCTCTGCCGCCTTAGAGCCTGGCCAGCTTGCAATCATAGAGTCAACTATGAATTCTCTTTCATACCAGAGAGTGCTTATGGAGAATGTGAGGCCATCTGCCAAAAAGTTGAAGCTGAAGAAGTGGACCTTCCAACAGGATAAAGATCACAAACATACAAGTAAATCCACCAAGAATGGATCAAAAGAACAAAATGGAGGATTGTGGAACTGCCTAGTCAGAGATCAGATCTGAATCCCATTTAAATGCTGTGGGGGGGGATTAGAAACAGGCTGTACATGCAAGAAGCCCTTCTAACATCGCACAGTTGAAATAATTCTGCATGAAGGAGTAGGTAAAAAAATTCTCTTCGTAGGTGCCAGAAACTGGTAGACAGTTAGAGGAAACACCTACATAAAGTTGTTTCTGTTACAAAGGTGCAGTACCAGTTACTGAAGCCAGGGTTGTACTTACTTTTTCAACAGTCAAAAAGACATCTCAAATAATTTATTTTTAAATAAATGATTACAAAGTAAAATTTCCTTTGTTTTTTATTCTTTTACGTAACATTTATTTAAACATGCTAAAAATCATGTGATCCTAACAGTGATTAACAGGCTCTGTTCTCAGCTCCTTGCTTTTGCAGTGGCCGTCATTCTGAGTTCTGGGAATTATTTCTGTTATTAAACTGTTGCCACTCTCTCATGACCAGTGTGCACTGTTATTAGGGTTCATTATATGAATGGCAACACAGTTCGTAATCACACAACCCTATCTGCTAATGTTATTTTGCCCCTAAGAAGTATATATCCAATCAGCCAATATCAAGATCACCTCTTCTTTTTTGTTTATAATCTCAATATCATTTAGTTTTAATTATAGAGCTTGAAATGATCTGTGGAAGTCTGATATGTGTTTTCTCTATAATATCTGAGCAACCTCATCATAAAAACAAATGTAAATATGTCCTTTATTGCCTATATGCATTTTTACTTGAGGGAATAAATGTACACCATGCATGAAAGAGGACACTGGTGTCTGAGCACTTTCCAAGTACTGAGTTTCATCCCAGAAATTAAAATTATACCAGAAGTACCAGGAAACGTTCTCAATATGGTTTTCAACACGAGTGCTTACCTCGCCTACAAACAGCGACATTATGCGTTGATTCTAATAAAGCACTGGAAATGGTCGGGAGAGTGAGGAAGCTGTCATTATCGTGGTATGAAAATGGATATACCTCAGTACATTTCTGATATGAACATCATTAAAGCCTACGAACGCATTTCAGGCCATTTTGGGTCTAATGTGTCCTGAGCTTCACCTTCGTAGTGCCTTGTGTCTCTCTTGCCCTTGATGTCACAGGGATTTTGGAAGAAGGGAGAGCATTATCAGGTTGATTTTTCATCCTTAATGCATCATTTGAGGAGTGAAGCAATCTCAGGGCCTTGGCCCAAAAACTGAAATATTGAATTTCCAAGTCATGAGGTTCATCTTTATCTTTTTTTCGCCCCTAAATGAAAATATGAGAGAGACAAAACTATTATCTGTAAGACTGTAAGAACTCTGGCTTGGTTTTAGATCTGCAAGCTTCCCTGCTCATCGCTTTTTCTCTCTCTTGCTCTCTCACTCTCGCTTGCTCTTGCTTTTTCGCTCTCTTACGCTCTCTCAATCAAACGGCCAGAGGGTGCAGCTGGAGCAGGAGATGCGCTGTGATTTTTTGATGGGACAGAAGATAGCATCTGAGCTTGCTGATGCTTTCTCTCTCCTGTTTTTCTTTCTTCCTCCTTCCTTCCCTCTCTTCTTCACTCCTGCCCAACAGAGCAGGACGAGCCAGGCGTTATCGAGCCAATCCTACTGGGAGCTCATTGGCTGAGCTCACGAATGGTAACCCTGAGGTCATGTTCAGCCTGATCCTCCTCCGTGGTGGGCAGCTGATGGTCCGACTGGAAGACGCGAAATGGAGAAAGAGAGAGGGAGAGAATGGGACAGAGGGAGATCATTAGCCAAACTTAGATATTTTATTCTGCTGCTCTAGCTATTCTAGGTCTAATCCTCTGTGTATATATAAGCTTTATAATGCCTTTGGCCATCACCTTATCTAATGGGAAATGGTATGGGTTATATGGGGAGGTTGACTTCACTCGTCTGTGTTCAATTCTTAATACATGAAATTAAATATTAATTTGGTTTGTGTCTGACTATGGAGCTGTGTGAATGTAATGCTATGGTGGGACGATTGGGTATCTCCTCTTATTTTGCTGTGAGCGGTGTTTTCTTGTGAAACAATTTCTTTATAAATGATTCTTTTTAATAAAATGAATGTTCTCGGCTAAATAGTACCATTTCTTGGTTCCACATACAAACAGTTATCACATGCACACAGTACCACAGTACCAGTCCAAAGCGTATGCTTAAGTGCTTGAAATTTATTTCTAAGGCAAATAAAAAAAAAATTGCAGTTGATGCCTATGTATGACTTTATTTTTCCAAGCAGAAAACAGTTCTGAGTAGGTGTGTCCAAACTTTTAGTAGTTCTCCTCAATTGTCCTCTTGGCTGTGAAAAAGCACGGCTTCCCTTGAGCAAGACTCGGCCTAATCAGTGTTCTCATTAGGCCTTTCATAACTTTCTCTGCTGCTTTAAATGATTGCATTAAGTGCCTTCATACATTAGCTCAAGTCTCTGCTGTTGCATTTCATCACAGGTTAAAGACATATGAGCTCTTTCAGGGGAAGAAAAGCAGCAGGCTTAGCTTTCTTGTGGGCAAATATCCACATTTTCTATCCCTAAAGTTTTTTTGCCTTGCCAACTGTCTCGTTTGATTGTCAGTCAAGCCTGTTTTCAGTAGTGTTCACCGAAGATAACATTTTTTTTCCCTCAAGCTAATTATTTTAGTAATGCTTTTTTTCTTCTCTCTTAACAGAAAAAACAAAGAACCAAAGAGCTGTCTGCACTGTTCCACTCGTATAACCCTTATGACCATAAGGTAAGAACCAGTTGGCTATTAGAAGACCTCGCATCAAACCAGACCTTTCCTCTCTCCCTGTCTGTATTTTTATGCTTTAAGATTGTTATCTGAGCTTTTCTGACGCTTTGGTCAGGTACCCAACCACAGTCCTTTACTTTTTCTGTTTCCACACATGACTGACATTATAGCAGACACAAGCTTATGATTAGAGGATTTGCTGACAATATCTTAGCAAAGTCTTAACAAAGTAATAATTATAAAGCACAAAATCATCAGTATATGATTTAGTTTACAGATTGGTGCATGTGAAGGTCATATGCTTGGTGACATTACTCTCACTTGACAGAGTAAGGACTTAGCTAAATTATGTTCTTGTAAATTTGTTTTACAAGTGTAAGTCTTACATTTTCTCGGTATCGTTAACCTTTCCTGCAAGTGTTGATTTAAAGAACTTCCAACTGAAAACAGATAGGGCTCAAGCTCAAATAAACAAACATTTTTAAAGGAAATTTCCACTTTTGTTGTTTTTGTCAAACTGATGAGTCTAAATGAATGTGTTTTCTTCTTTCTTTCATTATTAATATTTTAGCCCTATATTGGAGGGAAAAAAATTACTTCCTTTTAACATCCGGTTGGGTAGGGAGTGAAGACATGCCTCTTAGATTACATTTTACCCTGACTGTGGATAATGGCTTTGCAGCATTGTTCTTGTCAAGCTGTCATTGTGATCTCAGGACAGAAAGGAGTCATCTTTTCACAGTATTTGGGAAGAGAATCAGAGATGGAGAGAGAGAGCAAGAACGGAGTGTCACGGTCTCCTGGCATCTGGGCAGGAAGCAGCGTGAGCCCTGTAGCTCTTGTCTTTTAATGACATCATTAAAATTTCAGCAGAGCCAGGCTCTTTTAGTCTTCACCGTCTCCCGCCCATAAAATCACATAGTCATTCCTGTTAGTGCCGCTGGTATTTTGCCTTTTCCTCACCAGTTTCACTGCGTCCGCTTCTCTCCCCTGACTAATTACTGCTCTGTGCCATAATCAAGTCCAAATTGAATAACCCATAAAGACGGGAGGTGAAGCTGTGTTGGGAGACGTTACAGCCAGAGAAAGAGCAGTGAAAGGAAAGAGAGAGAATGCCTGTAAACAGTTAGAATGGCAGAGGGAATGATATCATTTCTTGGGACTATGAAAGAGATTTGTGTGTTTTCTTCCCTTGTTCCCTCTGTGATCAGATTTGTGTGTTTGGAGACAAACTATCAGCCTATGATGTGCTAGAATGACTGTGTCAATATGAACATGGTTCAAATGAGAATTGGGAAAGGAAAAACAGCTTTCAGGGGATTTTTCTATTTTGGCTGGTTAGCTTTCAAGGAAAGATTAGACATGTCTGGGATATGTCAAAAGAAGACGACTTGACAGTCTGCCCCTGTGCTTGCAGATATGTTTCAGAGTTTAAGTCAGTGATTGCTCCCGGAATAGTGATTAGGAGTGTTTTGAATCAAGAATTCAGTTAAATCCAGTTCCAGTTTATTGTAAGTTTACAGTACGAGTGAAATACATGTTCAGGCTGTTCTCAGACGCATGAGATAATACAAAATATTTGCAATTCAGTCTCACAGTAGCACAGTTTGTTTTGTAAAAAAAAAATATTCTATAATAACATGACAAATAGTACAACAGTGCAGTAGCAAAGTAAAACATATGCCAAAAAAATCTTTCTTCATTCCTTCTTTTTTGTCCAGAGATCTTTATGTGAACGTGTTTCTGTTTTATGCTTCTCAGAGCTAAGACTATGTGGTTTTAGTTTTGTAACGCTGAGTAGTTGCCCTTCCGTTAAAACTGCACCATCTCTTCTTCTGCTGGAAAGAAGCTTAGTTTGTGACTGATGTGACATTGGCTTGTCTTTTCTGCAGCAGATGTCTGTGCTTTTGAGCTTGCACGTCATCTCTGAGATCCACCTGTGCCAAGACATTAGACTCTATTTAAAAATACTTCACTCAAAAAATGTTAACATGGCTCAGAGTTAATGGAAGCTAATAGGGAGCAGTTAGCATTTTGTCATTTGCATAGTGCTGACTGCACCTAAATAGTTCCCACATTCGTTATTAGCTTCGTTAGCATTTTAGTATTCTTTTAACTGCCTGTATCCTCTTCTGTCCAGGGCAGTTACTCTGCGGTGACTTAGGAAGATGAACAACACACTGTTGATATGCAGCATCTTTTTCACACAGATCCACATTCATGCTGATTCAAGTCTTTCTACAAAGCATAAATCCATACATCCACATCTATAGAGGCTTTTGTCCATTCCAATTCATTTCTCTAGACTTTGGTCCACTTTGACAGTGGCCACCTTCTGCAGCATTTACCTAGGTGATTATTGGCCGGTTGCTTCAGTGTCCCAGTCAATCAAACAGAGGTCCATAGGTAACTGTCATGATTCTGTATCCTGGCGGCGGCCATTTTGGCCACGGCGTAGGACAGTAATGAGTAAGTGCTGGTTCACTAATCCCTTTCTAATGATGCGTGAGCTTCCACTTTGGCTGCTCATGGTCATTTGGCATTAAAACGCTTAATAGAGACAGCTTCCTGGGGTCCGTTGGCTTTGCTTCTTGGCCGAGGTGTATTGGTCACTCTGAAGTGTGACACAGAGAGAGAGGGAGAGAATGTGGAGCATGGAAGAACAGGGAGGAAATAGAAGGAATGGTGGGATGTGAATGTAAATGTTAGAGAATAGTTCATCATAAAATCAAACATTATACAAATGACAATAGAGAAGATAACATACAGACTTCAGTTTGGCTGCTACTTCTGTTTTTAGATATGCAATATACTTTTGTCTTTTTTTTCATAGATAACAGTTCATCAAATAGTGTCAGAAATCACATAAGCAAGTGTATTTGAGATTACTTAACAACTCAGCACAGTTTGATGCAGCTGTGTGATGAGATTGTGCAGATCACACGATGCCAATTGTTGGTGTATGCGCTTCCATTACTTGTCAAATAATTATTATATATAGTTCCATTGTTCCAAAAAAGAAAAGAAGAAGAGGAGAAGAAGAGGCAAATATGTCTTGAGTAAAGGCAAAACTGAGTAAGTTTGATTTTAATCCAGTCATTTAAAGGTAAAAAGCTAAATCACACTGGGCAGCAGCCTTGCTGTGAGTTATAGGAATCAGATTGGTCATTCTCTACTGTATTGCAGAGAATTTGAACCCACAAATTTGTGTCCTCTTCACATCCTCCATCCTGTCCACTTGTTGCTCACAGGCCTGCTAACCAATGACTGTTTTTCCAAACTGTGCTACCAGATGTGAATAATTTCTGACTTAAACCATCAGGGAAAGTAAATAAATAAACAAATACATGACTGTGCATCATATTGAATAGGTGTCTTCTTACTGACCGCTGTACACTCAGACTCTCTCTCTCTTTCTTTCTCTCACTTTTCTTGGCAAAGTGCCAGTCTGATTGTGTGTAATTAGTGGTAGTGGAGGGAGCTCACACATCTTTCCCCCGCATGCAACACTGTGCCGCCTACACATGGTCAGATCCTATAGGAGAACCGGTGAAAAGCAAGAGAGGGGGTCAAAGGACACAGCAACTGCCAGAACTGCTAAATCATAAAGTAGATTCGAAGTTAAAATGATCTTCTTCTTTTAGTGCATTTTACATGCATACTATTGCAGCAAACGCTCTTCATTTACACAATTTTACATGCCACCCATCTTTACCGGTGAAGCTGTAATGCAATATTTTACTTTACTGGGCTGTTTTCATTGTGCTTTGCTTAGCTACATGGTGCCCTACAGAGTGCATGTATACTGACTGGCTATTATATTATCCTTAAAGGTGCACTCTTTGTCCAGTTTATCAGGTCCATTCATCATAGAAGTGTAATTGTAGTTCTACAGTTACAGACTGTACATCTGTTTCTCTCCATACTTTGTTAGCCTCCTTTTACCCTGTTCTTCAGTGGTCTGGACCCCCACAGGACCACTTGATCATTCTCAGCACTGCGGTGACACTGATGTGGTGGTGGTGTGTTAGTGTGTGTTACGCTGCTTACACTCTGCAGAACAGTGACTGTTCCAAACTTGCATTCTTAACTAATGTAACTATTTTCCATGTAATTCTGTGTCATGCAATTGCTGAATAATAATCCTTAGAAAGTAATAAATCTCTTAATTTAAAAGCACTTTGATCAAAAGGCTAATGCTTAAATTACTGAAATATGGTGCTAAGACAAGTTTAAATAGTGAAGATGATTCCTTATGTGTGAATTTATTTCTAAAACAGAAATTTTAATCAAAATCCTCAACAAGTAATTTTCCTTTAGAACTGTAGTGCAGTTTAGAATGGTTAACCACAATTGTGATATCATTCTGTTTTCTACGTGTAACTATGCATTAGAAGTTAATTTAATGTGTTGGTAATAAAATGTGTTGGAGCCAGTCAGCTGTGTTGTGCGGTAGTGTAGGTCTGCCTCTTATTTTATAACAAAAGCTCTTCTAAACTTTGCTATGTACAGACTGGTAATTTGTGATTAAATCAAGCAGCTTTAGCTGCTACAGTGGCCACGGCTCTTACAGCCACATACATGCGAAAAATGAACATGATTGCTCCTTTGTTGTGGGTAGGGCTGAGCGATAAAACGATAACGATAGTTATCGCAATATAAATTTTCCTCGATAGAGCGATACGACATGTTCGATAAATGTTAATATAATAATACACATTCTCCTGTGACCGAGTGTGGGTGACGAGGTCAGTGGTGTAACTATACTGTCCTACAGCGAACTCACCTCTTTCTGTACATCCTAACCAGCTTTAGCAGCATTAAATCACAATCCTCACAACTACAGCGCTGTTACAGTGCTCGGATAGTCATATTTAAGAATGAGTGCATTCCCAAGCAACGAAAGTGAAAGAAAGAAGTGGGTTCATGCAGTTACGGCCCTGAGGTAAACAAAAGTAAACTGAGGAAGCTGTGAGGCATTGGAAAGTGGGAGAGCACTA